TTATCATTATCATTATCATTATCATTATCATTATCATTATCATTACTCATGTTTTGGTTTTCCAAGAGCTGGATAAACAAATGGCATGAAGATGACCAGCATATAGACCAGGCGAAGTCCTCGGGGGTCTCTGAGCTTGGCTGTTTGCTTGCAGACGTTTCGTTACCCGACTAGGTAACATCTTCAGTGCTAGAAGGGAGTGGGGTTTGCTCTCTGTTTATATACAGTAGCTTGCCCTGTCAGTGTCGGTGGGGGAGCTGTTTTTTCCTTGGCAGTTCCTAGATTAGGCTGTTGTTTACTGCCTGATTGTTTGTCTGGTGTTAATCCCTGCTTATCTGGGTGTTGATTGTGAGGAGGGGTTCTGGCTTTTTTGTTTAGCTTTTTATTAGCTTTTTAATATAGACCAAGTATTTTAGAGGGTTTGAATTTACTTAAAACCTACTGCTACTCTCCTTGCTAGATAACAAGGTTGAGATGCCGCTAATGATATATAAAAGAAGAACTGAAGGATGATTCTCAAAAATCTGATGCTCTTACAAAATTGTGAAATGTTTATAGGTAAAAAGTAGAGATTTTAGCAATTTAATCCTTTTTTTTCATGCATATAGTAACGCAGAAAGGCTGGGACTACTGAACAAGGGGAGTTAGACTCTTGCAAGATCACCTGCTACAGGAAAAATACTGTGCAAGGCATGCAAACTTGGCCATTGGCCATTCTTTTAGCTGTCCTTCCTTTTTAGATATTGTTGATATTAAGTACCATTAAGTAGATATTGAGTACTATTGTTTTAAGTGTTTGATTCTTTACCTTGATGCCTCGTTTTGGGTGTGAGCTCTGGCAGGAAGGAGTGATAGAAATTTATTAAAAAAAAAAAATTCTGATGACTAAGAAAAAGTCAATCCACTAAGTAACCCAGCCCCAAAATAATGCTGAAACATTTTCACGCTGCGCAAAATGTACACATTTAACAAATTAACTCTTTAGAATGCTGTTGAAGTTCTTATTCTTTATTTGAACTGAAAATGAAAAGGCAATGCTTGCGTTTCTGTGAGCAGAATGAATATGCTGTGGATCCTGAGGGATTACCCCTATTTCATAAAACATATAAAATTTCACGAAACTCCGGCTTTCCAAAACATGTTCCCTGACCGGGAATCGAACCCGGGCCGCGGCGGTGAGAGCGCCGAATCCTAACCACTAGACCACCAGGGAAGTTGTGAAATTGTTTTCTTAAAGCTCTTATTAGTCAATGCTGCAGTTTTTACCTGCCTTTTAGTAAATTGTTCCTCCCCTTCCTTTAGCAACATTCCCCTAAAATTCGCTACCCTCTAATTCAGTTCTTTTGTAGTACGAGAACCTAACGAGAGAAATCCCTAAACAAGGCATTGCCAGTTTAACAAACTCACCAAATTATCTATTAACTCTATGTCATTCGTTCGGGAAATGTTACCTTAATCTGCAAATGAATTTAAGGGAAAGAGGCGCCGTTTTCATCCATTCCCGCATGGATCGACTGATTTTTTTAAAAAATGCATCGGGCAAGGCGTGGAACGGGCTACCAGCCTTTTTAGGGAGGGCGATTAACATATCCAAATGTTACTCTATGAAGAGT